CTTTTGACTCCCAAGAATTTCCGTCCTCAGTCTATATTGCAAGACACCGTTTACAAGTCCGAGAGTCGATCCCTACACTACAGCAGTGTAGAAACTGCTGTCACTTCGGCCACCCAGCGAAATATTGTAGGTTCATGGCAGAATGCCCAATCTGTGGTGCTGCTGACCATACCAATACATCCTGCAGCCTACTACCTCCTGCCTTAACTGAAATGAGGCTCACCGAGCTTACTCACGCCGATGTCAAGTCTCAGAGAGAAAGGTTTCACATACACCATAACAGTCTCTCATCTCCGCCTCCAAGGGACACTACCACGACTTCCTTATTTGAGAGCTACTAAGCGGTTGAAAACCTCGGTAGTACCTACTTCCACAGTCTTATCTGTAGTCACAAATTCCACAACTATCTCTGTTGCTAACTCTTTTGCAGCCCTGGACTCCGAGGTCCCTACCTCGACGCCTCAAACTGTTCTTAAGTCTTCATCTTCTTGTTCGCATGAATCTCTGTCTATAAGACCTTCCACAATTACATCTTCCCTTCCCATCTTTTCTTCTTTAAAGTCGAAATCATCCCAAAGTCCTAATTTTCTCTAACCCCTCCTTCACTTATCCTTCCCAATCATCTTTCCTTTTTAGTCTAAGTGCCTAGTACTTTACCTCTTACTGTCTCTGTTACGAGTGTGAAGGTTCATCTTCCCCCTCATACAGTTCCCTACCCTCCTGTCCCCTCCCATCAAGCCAAGTTGAGGTTTTAGGCCTTCTTGTCATCGATGCCGAGGTTGGGACACTACGCTGTCCTGTCTTCTCATCGGGCACTCATATCTTACTCATGGGTATCTCATGGAGAATTGTTAAGTTCCAGTTTCAGTTTCCCATATTCTATTGGGCTGTCCTGTCTTTCAACGAGCACGCAGAATTTACCTCCAACGTCGTCACCGCTCTACCTGCCTTACTTTATCTTCCCTCTTTACTGACAGCGCCACCTCTGACTCAGACTCCTTCTTAGACTTTTTGACAACAATCGATTTATTACACAAACTTGGACAATAATTTCTTTAGCACTCCTCACAGCCAAATTGATTTTCAAAAAGTTGAGAAAGTTGTATCAAGCAAGTGCATGGTCTACAGGAATATAATTGAATCTTGTTTTATAAAAAGCAGTTTTGACAATAATATGAATATTTCCTTTGGTTTATATAAATTAGATCAATTTATAATTAATAGAATTTGGGAAGAATTTAATAATACATTGGACAAATAATAAATTTTAAAATTCTTAATTCTTGGGTAGAATAGTTTGTTCATGGGTTGTGTGAAGGACCTGTCTAGTTGGGCCAGCAGGCCTGCTGCAGTGTTCTTTTTCTTATGAGTCGTGTGTCAGGTGTTGCTTTGTTGTGGGGTGTGAAAATGAGGTGTGGTCTACACCCTTTATATGCCTTCCTTTGATGTATTACTTTTATTGTTCCTTGATAATGTGAGAAGTCACGAAAGCGCTTGCAATTTCCCTATTCTTTCACAGTGGTTGTTTTGTATATTCTGAAATCACCTGTTTACTGTGATCTTATTGCATATATATATATATATGTATATATATATATATATATATATATATATAAAATATATATATATATATATATATATGTGTGTGTGTGTGTGTGTGTACTCACCTATTTGGGGTTGAAGGGGTCGAGTCATAGCTCCTGGTCCCGCCTCTTCGCTGATTGCTACTAGGTCCTCTCTCTCCCTGCCCCATGAGCTTTATCATACCTCGCCTTAAAACTATGAATGGTTCCCGCCTCCACTACGTCACTTTCTAGGCTATTCCACGGCCTGACTACTCTATGACTGAAGAAATACTTCCTAACATCCCTTTGATTCATCTGAGTCTTCAACTTCCAATTGTGACCTCTTGTGTCTCTGTCCCATCTCTGGAACATCCTGTCTTTGTCCACGTTGTCTATTCCGTGCAGCATTTTATATGTCGTTATCATGTCTCCCCTGACCCTCCTGTCCTCCAGTGTCGTCAAGTCGATTTCCCTCAACTTTTCTTCGTTGGACAATCCCCTTAGCTCTGGGACTAGTCTTGTTGCAAACCTTTGCACTTTCTCTAATTTCTTGACGTGCTTGACCAGGTGCGGATTCCAAACTGGTGCTGCATACTCCAGTATGGGCCTGACGTAAATGGAATACAGAGTCTTGAATGAATCCTTACTGAGGTATCGGAACACTATCCATAGGTTTGCCAGGCACCCGTATGCTGCAGCAGTTATCTGATTGATGTGCGCCTCAGGAGATATGCTCGGTGTTATACTCACCCCCAGATCTTTTTCCTTGATTGCGGTTTGCAGTCTTTGGCCATCTAAACTATATTGTGCCTGCAGTCTTCTTTGCCCTTCCCCAATCTTCATGACTTTACATTTGGCAGGGTTAAACTCAAGGAGCCAGTTGCTGGACCAGGCTTGTAGTCTGTTCAGATCTCTTTGTAGTCCTGCCTGATCCTCGTCCGATTTGATTCTTATCATTAACTTCGCATCATCTGCAAACAAGGACACTTATGAGTCTATTCCTTCCGTTATGTCATTCACATATACCAAGAACAGCACAGGTCCTAGGACTGACCCCTGTGGAACCCCGCTTGTCACAGGCGCCCACTTTGACACCTCGTCGCGTACCATGACTCGTTGTTGCCTCCCTGTCAGGTATTCTTTGATCCATTACAGTGTCTTTCCTGTTATGTGTGCCTAATCCTCTAGCTTTTGCAGTAACCTCTTGTGAGGAACTGTGTCGAAGGCCTTCTTGCAGTCCAAAAAAATGCAGTCGATCCACCCTTCTCTCTCTTGTCTTACTTGTGTCACCTTGTCATAAAATTCCAGTAGGTTTGTAACACAGGAGTTTCCTTCCCTGAAACCGTGCTGGTTGTCAATTATACACTTGTTTCTTTCCAGGTGCTCCACCACTCTCCTCCTCATGATCTTCTTCATGACTTTGCATACTATACACGTTAGTGATACAGGTCTGTAGTTTAGTGCCTCATGTCTGTCTCCCTTTTTAAAAATTGGGACTACATTTGCCATCTTCCATACCTCAGGGAGTTGCCCTGTTTCAATTGATGTGTTGAAGATCTTTGTTAATGGCACACACAGTATCTCTGCTCCCTCTTTAAGGACCCACGGAGAGATGTTGTCTGGTCCCACCGCCTTTGAGGTGTCAAGTTCGCATAGCAGCTTCTTCAGCTTGGTTATATGTACCTTATCCAGCACTTGCTGGTGTACCCCCCTGTTCTGATTTCCTGGAGTCCTACTGGTTTCCACTGTAAATACTTCTTTAAATCTCGTGTTGAGCTCCTGACATACCTCTCGGTCGTTTCTTGTGAACTCCCCATCACCCTTCCTCAGTCAGATTACCTGGTCCTTGACTGTTGTTTTCCTCCTGATGTGGCTATACAACTTGACTTTCGATGCTATGTCATTTTCATATTGTCGCTGAGCCTCCCTTCTTATCTGTGCATATTCGTTTCTGGTTCTTCGGCTAATCTCTTTATTTTCCTGAGTTCTCTGTCTTCTGTACCTTTTCCATTCTCTAGTACACCTAGTTTTTGCCTCCCTACACCTTTGGGTGAACCAAGGACTCGTTCTGTTCTTCCCATTATTTCTGTTTCCCTTGGGAACAAACCTCTCCTCTGCATCCTTGCATTTTGTTGCCACATAGTCCATCATTTCTTTTACTGGTTTTTCTGTCAGTTCCCTGTCCCATTGAATGTCTTGCAGGAAGTTCCTCATGCCTGAGTAGTTCCCCCTTTTCTAGTTTGGTTTTCTCAACCTATTCCTGCTACTCTCTCCACTTGAAGCTCAACTATGTAGTCGAAGCACAGAACCACATGATCACTAGCTCCCAGGGGCCTTTCATACATGATATCCTCAATGTCCGAACTACTCAAGGTGAATACAAGGTCCAGTTTTGCTGGTTCATCGTCGCCTCTCTCTCTGGTAGTGTCTCTAACATGTTGATGCATGAGGTTTTCCAGTACCACATCCATCATCTTGGCTCTCCATGTTTCGGGATCCCCCATGGGGCTCCAGGTTTTCCCAGTCAATCTCTTTGTGATTGAAATCACCCATAACCAGTAACTTTGCTCCCCCCATGTGTGCTCTCCTGGCCACATCAGCTAGTGTGTCGACCATTGCTCTGTTGCTCTCATCGTATTCTTCTCTTGGCCTCCTGCAGTTCTGTGGTGGGTTGTACATTACTGCAATTATCACCTTATGTCCCTCAGACTGGATTGTTCCTACTAAGTAGTCCCTTTCGCCCGTGCCATCCATTCCTTCCATTTTCTCAAAACCCCACTGGATTTTAATGAGCAGTGCAATTCCTCCTCCCCCTCTCCTCCCTCTGTCTTTCCTGAGGATTTGATATCCGGATAGAAAGATTAAATCTGTTATTATTCTGGTGAGTTTTGTTTCTGTGAGTGCTATTATGTCTGGGGATGTCTCCTTGATTCTTTCATGCCACTCCTCATACTTATTTGTTACTCCATCTGCATTTGTATACCACACCTTCAACTTCTTTTCTGAGACTGTGGTCTGGGAGGTATATTGGGGTTGGGGAAGTGGGAGACCTGATAAGGAACTATGGGTGGTTGCTCTGGGGGTGGAGTTTGTAATGCAGTGGGTGGGGGCAATGGATGTGTCATGGGTGTTTTGGTTTAGAGTGTTTGGTTGCACTGGGGTTGTCCTGGTTGGGAGGCTTCTATAGGAAGTTGTGAGGGAGGGTGTGTGTGTGTGTGTGTGTGTGTGTGTGTGTGTGTGTGTGTGTGTGTGTGTGTGTGTGTACTACATCCGCTTAATGAAAATTTAAATATAACAGGTATTTGGTTAATCAGACATCCCTTTCCTCCTAATCGTCCATTATTTTTAGAGTTAACTGTACACAAATTTTACTTTCTTTAGAATTTAGGGAAAAGTGGATTTTGGACATCAACTCACAACTGGAAATATACTTACATCAGAGTATAAAATAGGCATGGATTTTAACCTTGACCACAGTTCAACACCAAGCTTCTTCCACCTTCCTTTTGTAGAGTCTATGTGTGGAAGAAGACCATACCAAGTTTCCAGGTGATGAGGTGACGACTTTTCTTTTAAATCACTAAGAACATTTTGTAAGAAGGTAAAGTATGCTTCAACAACAGCTCTGGATACCAGATCTTCATTCCATAATACCTTAAAAAGGAAATTATCTGTTATCTAAATATACAAAGCTATTTCTATATCATATATCTATTCCAAATAAATTAAAATACAAGATACCGTTTTAATTTTTAATCTAGACACTGTTTTTACACAGCTAAACTGAACTGATAAAGAAACTTTATATATTAATATTAATATTTAGCACCATGTGTTGCATGCTGCAAAAGTAGAATTATCTCTTTATAACTTAGGAAACTCTTATACAATAAATCCTATTGTTTTTTTTTTCAGAGGATTTAGGCTTTAGTATTAATTAGAGAGGGTTTGAACCATCTTCAAATGACTCTAAAATTATTATTAAGACTTAGTGTATTAATATTGGGTCATTATCTTTGGAAACAAAATTTAATATTATTAACCAAACATTACTGGAATCCCAGCTGGAAGCTGAGGGCTCGTGGATATGAGTTGTGACCTTCTAAGAAGAAAGTCCATGATATCAACATCACCATCTGTGCCAAAAGTGAAAGTCTACCACTGAACTCACAAAATACACTCTGGTACTGCATCAATAGCAGCTGCAGAGACCTAAGAGGGCTAAGTGAAGTAGCTGGTCTCTTCACTAGATCCCATCCTTGAGAAGTATCTGTGCATTTGTTTCATAACATTAGAGTAGCCATCTTTTCCCTCGTGACCATCACCGCCAGTATATTTGACTAACTGGTTTGGTTAGGGATCCGGTAAAACTAAAAAAAATAGAGTAGGTTAAAAAGTTCCTTACTCAATATGTTACCAAAACATGAAATTTTAATCAGGTGAAATATTTTCTTTTCAGGTTGTTTAACCATTGATAGCCTAGGGGAGGCAAAGGAATTCAGTATAACACCTAGGTCTTATGCCAGAGTTACTAAGATTTTCATATTTTTTACTGAGCACAATGGTTTTTTGTAGTTTTTTTGAATCTCAAGTTAAGTACTGAAGAAGGAGGTTCTACTTCTTCAGGAGGAAAAGAAGAGGATGAAACTTCGTCCAGATGTGTTTGGGACTGAGTGTGAGATGGTTGGACGGATGAAAACGTTACCAGCAGCGAGTTGGAGAGTGGCAGCCACTTTAAATGGCAAGTGGTTCACATTTCAGGAAGAAGTATCACGATAAGGAAAGTTAATAGAGAAGAAGTGAAGGCAGGAAATCGATTCTCTCTTCTCCAGGACGAGTGTACTTCAGTGGTTAGTAAAATTAAAGGTACCATGACTCCCTTGCTATACAAGGTAAGAATATTCTGGTTGTGGGAGACTCTCAAGAAAGATATATGGACCATACTTTATGTAACAGAGATAGGAAGTTAAGACAGAGAGTGTGTTTCCCAGGAGTTAGTGTTGGTGACATAGTCAAAAGGTTGAATAATATTGTGTCAGGTAATGGGAACAAGCCCATTATCTGTCTTAGCACTGGTGGAAATGACATCGGGAAGGGCAGGAGACAGGAGCTGCTGGATTAGTACAAGTCAGTAATAGATGTAGTCAGGTCTAAGGGAGGGGTCCCAATCATATTTAGTATTTTGCCTAGAAAGGGAGTGGGCAATGAATAGATGTCTAGGGTAACTGGTATAAATTGCTGGCTAGACAGGTACTGCAACAACTTGCAATCCCATTCAGTGATAACTGAGACAAATTCTATGGCAAACGTGATATGTATGCAAGTGATAGGGTACATCTCTCTGGGGTTGGAGTGGTTGCATTAGCCAACTCGATTAAGAGGGTTATTACTGACTTGTCTTGGACTTTAAACTGATAGATTATAGAGGTATGGGTATGTGTGGGAAACAATCAGGCTGTAGTGTTAGAGTTGAAAACAGTAGATATTATCAGGATACCTTAGGGATATGTTTAAAAAACAATATTCAAAATAATAAAATTGCTAGTAAAGGTATAGCAATTGATAAACAAGAAAAGAGAGACAGTAGAGGAGAATCAGTGTCTGGCTCCTTAAGCTTTACTATACTAATAGTAGGAGTCTAAGAAATAAGATAGACGAATGCCTTCTAAAGATAAGATTTCGTTCCGATTTTTAACCTCGGAGGGTTAGCCACCCAGGATAACCCAAGAAAGTCAGTGCGTTATCGAGGATTGTCTAACTTATTTCCATTGGGGGTCCTCAATCTTGTACCCCAGGATGCGACCCACACCAGTCGACTAACACCCAGGTACCTATTTGCTGCTAGGTGAACAGGACAACAGGTGTAAGGAAACGTGTCGAAATGTTTCCACCCGCCGGGAATCGAACCCGGGCCCTCCATGTGTGAAGCGGGAGCTTTAGCCACCAGGCCACAGGGCACACACCAGGCCACTGAACACACACAGCATACAAGGCTATAAACTATTCTGCGCTGATAGGGTCAACAAGAAGGGTGGTGGAATGGCGATGTAAGTCAGAGATAGTTTATATTGTTGTGTTAGACGAGATATATAAGATTAGAAACATCGCACACGGTATTCTGTTTGACTACAGTTCCTCGAGGGTCGTGAAAAATTAATTTTGGGTGTGATTTGTAGGCTCCCAAACCCTGATAGGGAGTGCAGTAAGCTGTTATGGACGAAATTCATAAGGCATCTAGATATGAAAATGTTGTGTTAATGGGAGATTTTAATTTTAGACATATTGTTTGGAATTTAGACTAATTGACGGAAATTTTGAGTATAGTGACTTTCTTGATACGATTCAGGATTGCTTTTTAAAACAGTTTGTGACAGAACCAACTAGAGAAAGCAACCTGCTTGACTTGGTTCTTGCCAACAAAGAATCATTAATTAATATTCTTGAGGTTAATGATGAGCATGGAAAAGCGATGACAAATCACTTAGTTTCAATATATCATGGAAATACCAAAATAAGTGCAATTAAATCTCTGTCCCAGACTTCTGCTTGGCCGATTTCATGGGACTGAGAAAGTACCTGAGTGGGCTGAGTATGGGTCAGGTAGGCGGTGATGGTTGCCAATATATGACACTTTTCAGGGCATAGTTCTAGCTGCCCAGACAACTATGTTACAAATAGGGAAATTAGTTCTAACAAAAATAATCCCAGAGGGATAAACAATGGCCAGTTAAGAAATCAATATATTCAATTAAAGAGAGAATTAAAAAAGGGAATAAGAATAGCAAACAGAGATTATGAGGCTAAAGTCACAAGGGATACGTAGAATAACCCAAATGGGTTCTTTCATGTATAGAGAAGTAAGATTAGGGATGAGATAGGCCCTCTTAAAAGTAACTCAGGTATGACCACTGACAGTGATAAGGAAATGTGTGAAATTTTCAACATCTAATTACTCAGTTTTTACTCAGGAAGATACTAGCGAAATTCCAGAAATAATAAATTATGTAGAAGAGGACGATATTAAATTATGCACGATTGGGGTAACTAGTGACATGGAACTCATACAAATAGAGAAATTAAAACCTAGCAAATCCCCAGGCCCTGATGAACAATTTGCAAGGCTTTAGGTCTGCCATGACCGTTGGTATAACACACTCTGCAACTACTGCATGCATGTATCATAATGCTGCGGGTGCTCTAGGTAGTGTGCTGCAATACAAACTGCAACCTGTGCGATATAACATCTGTAGCAAGGAAGTAGTCATGGGGGTTCATTTAGGTATGGGTGCACATGTGAGATCATCCTAGGATAGATGCAGAGTGACCTATTGAGGTCCTAACCCATCCAGGTACAACGGTACAAGGTACACACAGTTGATTGCAACATATTATAATAATAATGATAATAATAATGATATAAGTAGATAATAATTGATAATAATGATAGGAATGGTGTTAAAATTAAGAGTTGCCTACTTATTGTCAGAAAACCTGAATTGGAGAATTCACACAGACATATTAACTGACTCTGAAAACTTACCCTATTTCTCTTGTTGTTGTCATTGCATCATTGCACAGCTCCTGATGACATAACGAGAAGTGTGAAAGTACTCGAGGTAAAGATTTCCACCCAAATATAAAACTTTCATCATTCACTCCATCATCGTCTTGCCAGAGGCTTGCTTACACAAGAGTTATAAAACTGCAATATTAAATCCCTTCAGTGTACAGGCACTGCACTTCCGATCTCCAGGACTCAAGTCCGGCCTGCTAGTCTCCCTGAATCTCTTCTTAAATGTTACCTTGCTCACACTCCAACAGAATGTCAAGTCTTCAAAACCATTTGTCTCCATTCGCTCCTATCTAACACACACTCATGCATGCTTGCTAGAAATCCAAGCCCCTCGCACACAAAACCTCCTTTACCCCCTCCCACCAACTTTTCCTAGGCCTACTCCTACCCTGCCTTCCCTCCACTACAGATTTATACACTCTCGAAGTCATTCTATTTCGTTCCAGCCTCTCTACATATCCGAACCATCTCAATAACCCCTCCTCAGCCCTCTGGATAATAGTTTCCGTAATCATGCACCTCCTCCTAATCCTCAAACTACGAATTCTGTGCATTATATTCACACCACACATTGCCCTCAGATATGACATCTCCAATGCCTAAACCCTTCTCCTTGTTGCAACATTCACCACCCATGCTTCACAACCATACAAGAGCACTGGTATAACTATACTCTCATACATTCCCCTGTTTGGTTTCATGGATGAAGTTCTTTGTCTCCAGAAACCTCTCAGTGCATCACTCATATTTTTCCCCTCGTCAATTCTATGATTCACCTCATCTTTCATAGACCCATCTGCTGACACGTTCATTCCCAAATATCTGTATTTATTCACCTCCTCCATACTCTCTCCCTCCAGTCTGATATCCAGTCTTCCGTTACCTATTTTTTTTGTTATCCTCATCACCATACTCTTTCCTATATTCACTTTTAATTTTCTTCTTTTACATACCCTACCAAACTCATCCACCAACCTCTGCAACTTCTTTTCAGAATCTCGCAAAACCACAGTGTCATCAGCAATCAGCAATTGTGACAACTCCCACTTTGTGTTATATTTTTTATCTTTTAACCCCACACCTCTTGCCAACACCCGAGCATTCATTTCTCTTACTTCCCCATCTATAAATATATTGAACAACCATGGAGACATCACACATCCCTGTCTATGGCCTACTTTTTCTGGGGAATAATTTCCCTCTCGGTTTTTGTGGCATTTATGGATTTGGAAAAGGCGAATGATAGTGTGGATAGGGGAGCAATGTGGCACATGTTGCAAATATTTGGAGTAGGAGGTAGGTTATTGGAAGCAGTGAAGAGTTTTTACGAGGATAATGAGGCTTAGGTTAGAGTAGGTACGTATCGGTAGGTAGGTATCAGTACGATTGGTAGCAGAATGGATTTGGTGACACGTATGTTGTGTTGCCTCTTGAGGCGGGACAATGTGTCGTGGGGTCGAACCCTGGCCTGCCGCAGTTTGGTAAATGTTTCAGTACCACTTGTTTCGTGGCTACATTGATATATATGCAGAAGGTGGAAGTGAAAACTGCCTTTTACCAAGTACAGAAAAAAATACTTACATCAGGTTCAATGCTATTCTCTTCAGTTTTCCACTTAACATGTCTTCTATTTTGATCAAGTGCAAAGAAACCATTGATTTGAACAGGAAGATTCGTCTTGTTGTCAGTTTCTAAAGGTAATGGTAGAAAACAGAATATATGCCCAGTATTTAATGTGGTTCTGCCTGTTGTAATGGATGTCTCATCACTGTGTGTTGCAGTGGGTGAAGCTACACTGTGTGCTGTAACAGGTGCAGCTATTCCAACTAGAGGCATGTGTTTACAACTGTCTTCTCCTCTCCATGTTACTGTACTGGGATCACTTGAGCCTGGCAAGTAATGAAGGATGTGCATCATCTGCTGCTTTGTCTGATTGCACCTCACACTCTCAACAGTCACCTCATAATCACAAGTTATTGTTTGCGATGGACACCCTTTGCATTCTACCAGCTTTTGTTTAAAAACTTTTCTCTTTTGTTGAACTTCAGTCATAATTGGACTAATTAATTTAACTTCATGGGTTGTTACTGGACTCTTATTCCACTTATTGATCCTCTTCAGACATATTTTCTCGATGGATTTTAAAAACGTTAAACACAAAGAAGCTTCAATGCTAAATGATTCAAACAATGTTATTACATGATTATATGTATAAATAGTGTTTGAGATATCTGATGGGCTCTGTCTGAGTGGAAACCAGAAGAGTGTAGCAGGAAACTGTCCATCAGTGATGTTCTGAGTGCTGATGTAGCAACTCCATAAGCGTAGACAGTCATCAAGAGGGCAAATGCTTGTTAATTTCTTGAGAGAAATTATGCGGCACATTTTATTTTCTGGTTCACTTGGGTCCATAAAGAGCACCTTGTTACCACTGATGATTGTTACAAAATCTGTAAAAGAAAAAACAAACAAACGTTAAACATTCTTGATTATATACAGGAACTAGAAATTAGAATTAGAAGCACTTTTATTATTTTACAAAAAATCCCAAAACATTATATAAATTATTTTATCACTGTAATTAAAATTACAGTAACAACCTGATGTAAATGTCCATCAATAGGGGGATACCAATGGAAAAAAGTTTCTTATTCACTTTTTTTTTATATTTTATTGAAAAACACATTACATGGTACACATTTACGCTCAACACAGTTCCAATGACGTGAACAAATAGAAAAGATAACATACACCTAACCCCATGTTCCACCCCCCCCAAAAAAAACATGCAATTGTGAACACTCACAACAATGTCTGGTGGATACTCCCCCCATCCCCCATCCCCCCTTTCCCCCCACCCCCTAGATACTGCAAGATCTTGACAATTCTAGATAACAAAATAAAATAGCTCACACCCGACCATACAACTGGCTGCCATTATGATGCAGAAACTTCCTATGAATGTAGAAACACACTCAAAATGAAAACACACCACACAGTGCACTTGTGTAACATAATGAATACTGGTGAATATAAAAAGTTTCTTACAGAAACCACTTAAAGTAACAGTAATGGCCGTGTATGTGCACACCAAAGGCCCCACTCATCACAGGTTGATGCTGCAAACATCAGGAAGGGCTCGCGGACCCCGAAGAAAACTAGTGAGTACCTTCACCCATCATACCGGCTGACCTTAATGCACACAGGTGCCTGTGGTCACCACACACATTCTTTCTGTCATGGCCACTCACGCCAATGACATATCCACTCACTCACATTGTTCTCGTTTTTGCCATTGCACGTGTGATTGTTACACACGCCATTGTGAAGCCACATATATACAATTATATTAGCTCTCAAAAAGATCCCAGCATACATCCTATGCAACAAGAGGTATCCCCAACACCCCCCCCAACGCCACCCGAATGCGTCCATCCCCTGAGCAGTGTCTCGCTCCTACAAACTGTGCAGAGTGCTCACCGTTAATTTGCGGTAACCCACAGAAAATACCTCCCCCACCTATGCCCATATGTACTCCTATTTCTACACAATGTCTGATATATTGTTGGCGCCTTTACGCGCTTACACAACTCCCACGCTTCCTACCCCCCTCACGCTCCAGGCTATGTACACGTAATCTACCATCATGTAAGCCAGCGCACACGCTGCCCTGTCTTCCACCCCCCACATCCAAACTTAGCGCCGGCAAAACTGACACACCCCTCCCCCCACTCTCTCCAAAACCCGACCTACCCATGCCCTGATCCTCTCCAGCCTTTCACAAAAGTAAACAGCATGGAAAGCCATATCCTCCTCCCCACACTACCCACAACACCCCTCCCCCCAACCCTACTGTCTCACAAAACTGCACCAGAAGGTAAAATCCTGTGCAAAAACCGGAACATGACCTCCCGCACCCTTGGTTGCAACCTCAACCTCCTGAACCTCTCCCAGATAGATGCTCAATCATAAATTGGGTAGCACCCCTCCCCCACCTGCACCTCAGGCCTCCCCATTGCCCTTTGTAAAACCCTCACCCTAATTTTCCTTACGTCTCGAACCACAGCCATCGCCCGCAACGATGCCTCATACTCCCTAAGGCCCTCCCCCCTCTGTACAAATCCTGCAACATCTCAAGAACCTTTCCCAACCTTCCCTCCTGGAAATCCCCCCCCTCCTCAACACCTCACGCCTTATAAAAACGCATTTAACCCTCCTCCAGAGATCCAACAGGCCCATCCCTCCCCTTCTCACAGGCAACATGACCACCTCCCTTTTCAACCACTCACACCCAGAACCCCACAAAAAGCAGAACACCTTCCTCTGAATGTGTGCGAGGACTGGCAAAGTTGTGCGATGGACCATATCTTACTATACAAAAGCACATTAATCACTATTGCACTCTGGAGAATAGTGAGGTGATGCGGCCTCAGTATCTTGAAAGTGGTCTCCACGCATTCCTCCAAACGACACGAATTATCTTCCCGAGCCCATACTAAGTCACCCCTATGAAGGATACCACATATTTTCAACACCTCCACACAGTTCCTCACCACCTGACACCCCCACTCCTCCCTGCCTTCCCACGTCCCCAACCCAAGAATGAATAACTTCTCTTTATTCACTATCATCCCTGATGCTCCCCGTAAATCCTCACCACCTCCTCCAATCTATCCAGAACCGTCTTCTCATCCACCAAGATCATCACATCGTCCACATACCCTACCAGACTCGGCCATGGGCTTCCAGCCCCACCCCTATCCCCGCACATTCTTGCCTCTAACAATCTATGAAAAAGTTCTTGCACACACACAAACAAAAGTTGGGAGAGTGGACACCCCTGCTGTAGACCCCTGCCCATTGCCACCACCCTCTCCAAATGCCCATTAACTTGCACAAGAACACATGCCCACCCGTACAGTGTGTGCACCTAACCCACTAATTCCTCCTCAAAACTCTGACTCAGTAAGAAATGTTCTAATGCTATCCTCTCCACGAGTATCGTAAGCTCCTCTCCAATCCACTGCTAACAAACCTCCCCCTCCCCCCACCAACCCCAGCTACAAAATCCAGTAAAATACCCCAAGACCCATCACCATAGATCTTCCAGGCAAACCAAACTGGCTCGGGGAAACCACCCATTCAATAACGCACTTCAGACGATTACCCACCTTTGCAAAAAAGCTTATAGTCAGTGCACATTAAGGAGAGTGCCCGGTAATCATTAAGGGTCTGCTGACTTGACCCCTTCGGGACTAAACCCTTCGGAACTAAAACCACCACCCCCATCGCCTGCCCCACCCCTAAACGACCCTCCCGTTTCATTGCATTCAATAATCTGACCAAAAACCCCCTCAACAGATCCCAGTGTGCCAAATAAAACTCACATGGGAGCCCATCAACACCTGGCGCCTTGCCCTTGCTCATACCCTCTAATGCTCTCCAAATTTCCTCCTCCTCAATGTCCCCCCGCAATGCCATTCTATCCCCACCCCCCAATGGTTTCCCTACACAGCCACACACTTCCTGCAACAACTCAGCTTGCACCTCTCTACTATGCCAATAACACTCATACCATCTGTCAGCATACATTCCCATGCCCTCCGTCGACCTGAGCACCTCCCCAGCCGATAACCTGCCTCCGCACCACGTACCTCCAGCTGGGTAATGGTCATCGCCCTCCTATGTTGTTGTTGGCCCCTCAGGACACAAGCCAATGGCCTATCCCTGCATAGTACCTCATCCATACCTGCCTACACCTGCACTGATTCAAACCTTTCATTCTGCAACTCTCATAACCTCTCCTTCAGGTCCTCAATCTCCCCCACCTGGTACTCTCCCTGCAAAGCGCCAATATTGTAGCAATCCCATATGTGCTGCTCCAGATAATTCGACAATCCATATTTCATGGGATTAATTCTCTTCCCCTCCTTTATATAAAATGACCGAATCCTAGCCTTGGTTATAGCATCCCACCAACTTACGACATCATCAACCACCCTCCCTTCCTCCCAAAGCTCTGCCCATAATGTGGAAAACCCCCCACCCCCTCCTCCTCCATGAGAACTCTCACATTCAACTTCCAGTAACCCACCTGCCTCCTAGCTAACTCCTCCCACCTCAGCTCCACTACCACAGCCCTATGATCCGAGAAAGGGGCATCCACAGTACAAACTGAGATGATATCTTCTCACCTTGTGACATATAGACGATCCAATCTTGCCCCATATCCCTCCCGCACAAACGTATGCTCCGCCTCCCACGACCCCCATGGCACACATCCCTCAACTGAACATCCCTGATAAGCTCCCCCAGCATGTGCGAGAAACACCCCCCCCCCTTCTCGGCTCTACGTCTGCCCGTCGAATTACACGGCAACAATGAACCAACTCATCCTTCACAAAAGCAGCTTTAACCCTTACAACATTCTCTGCCGGTGCATACACACACACAAAAGCCACCCGTTCCCCTCTTCACCACTCCTCCACGTGAATAACCCGTCCTTCTACCCACCCCTTGCTCCTGAGCAACACAAACAGGCTTGCCTCCCAGATAAAGATGGCGACCCCCCATTTTAGATGCTCCGAAAGCACCACATAACTCCTGTAACCTTCCACCTCAATAACTCTGCCGACCTTCCAGTCATGCTCCTGTAAGTAAACCACGTCCGCACGGTGTCTATGCAAAAATGTACTTAACCACACACGCTTCAGTTGTCCACAAAGCCCATTAGCATTCAGTGTCATACACCAAGGCCTCCTAATACTTGCGCTCACTCCGTACCCCAGCACCCTTCACAGTCTCACTCCACCCTTGCCCCTCACACCACTCATAACTCCAGGGTTGCCCATCTCTGCCCTGAGCTGTAGCTTTACTTCCTCCTCATTTCCATTCTTCTCCACCCACACCTTCTTCCCTGGACGTTGGGCGGGCGTTAACACATCGTCAGAGTCGGGCACTGCCGCTGCCTTTTTCCTGGTGCCAACACACATCCACTACTATGAACCGCTCAACAGCCTCTCCAGGCTTCTGCTCATCTGCAACTTGTGCAACATCACTCACAGACACCTCCTGCCCAGACGTTTGCTCAGGTGCAGGCCCCGGACCACCCACAGGCCCTGCAACTGTAACCTCCTTGGGAGACTGGAATAATGACTGTATCATTGTCTCCACCATCTCCATGAAGGCCTCGATGCCCTCAGATTCCTGCTGCTCCACCAGCCGCACTGGCTGCTCTGGAATCAGGTCATCCAGGGTAGGCTCCATCTCTTTAGCCTCCACGATCTCGCTCCATTATCGACCACGCCCATCCTCTTCCTCCCAGGTGGGCTCAGGCACCACTCGCCCAGCTCCGGTGGGCGCAACACCAGCCGGCCTCGAAGGCCGCCTGCACTGTCCACACTCAGCTGCAACATGATCTTAATCACTGCAAATTCGATACGTCCGCCTT